CGCTGCCCCCGCTGCTGCAGGAGGGAGAAGGGTACTACTACCGCTCGCTGGGGGCGGAGGGGGGCCCCCCGGGGGCCCCCAGCTGTTTTTTCAAGGAGTTTGAGGCCCTGGGAAAAGACGTGCTGCTGCGGGATTATATTCCGGAGGAAAGTTACTTTTCTTCAGTGCTGCGCGTGAGCTCTCGGGGACTTAGTCTATTTTTGCATTATGATGTTCCTAATAACATTTACTTGCAAGTTGTGGGGCGGAAGCAAGTGCTGCTGTGGGGCCCCACAGAGTACCTGAAGCTGTACATGCGGGGCAGCAAGAGCGCAGTGTGGGGCGCGGGGTGTACAGACACCGCAGCCTTCCCGCTGCTCGCTGCTGCGCGCTGCTGCTGCGCGCTGCTGCTGCCCGGAGACCTTTTGTTCATTCCCAGTTTGTGGCTGCACGCCACGCAGGCCCTCGACTTCAGCGTCGCAGTCAACGTCTTCTGGAAGCAGCAGCAGCGGCAGCAGCAGCAGCAGCAACAGCAGCAGCAGCAGCAGCAGCATCAAAGAGACCAGTGGTCTAAATAAAAGAGAAATTTAAAAAAGAGGAACTGCTGCTGAGGAAGAAGGGCTCGAGCAAACAAATAAAAAACGATGAATTATAATTAAATAAATGAATAAATAAATAAATAAATCAGTTATTTATTTATTTATTTATTTATTTATTTATTTATTTATTTATTTATTTATTTATTTATTTATTTATGGAAAGATAAATAAAGAAACAAATGAACAGCCAAAGGGCCACGCGAGAGCACCAATGTTTGGGGTGTACATACACCTGAGTTGCGTTACTTATTTCTAATTTATTTATTTGCAAATTCATTTTATTTATTTAATTTATTTAATTTATTTATTTAGTTTATTTATTTAATTTATTTATTTTATTCTTTAGGACTTTAGTTTTTCTTTTTTGAATTCATTTCTTTTGGCATTCCTCATTTCGCGCCAGCTGTACGTACACCCTAAACCCTAAACCCTCAGGCCCGCCAAAACCCTTCAGCGTAGTCCCCAAGGGTTTAGGGTTTAGGGTTTCTCTAGGGCTGCTAAACCCTGAGAATGCCTTTGTAGCAATCCGAAACCCTAAACCCTAAAGCCTGGACACATTGGGAGCAAAAGGCCTGTGAATATCTGCTTAGGGTTTAGGGTTTAGGGTTTAGGGTTTAGGGTTTGTTATGGTAGTTTCGAAGCCTGAAAGAGACTGGACCTAAACCCTAAACCCTAAACCCTAAACCCTAGCAGCAACCGAGCGAGGCTCGGTGAGCGCTGAGGGCCAGTGTGCCCGAATTCTGGGCAGTAAACCCTAAACCCTAAACCCTAAACCCTAAACCCTAAACACTAAACCCTAAGACAAAGAAGTAGAAAGGGTTTCACAGCTTTGCATGCAGGGCCCGTCGGCGCCACTGACTTGCGAACGGCAACAAACCCTAAACCCTAAACCCTAAACCCTAAACCCTTGCTAAACCCTCGTAAACCCTAATCGTTTCAAGCCCTAAACCCTTTCTGCTGAACAAAATATGATTTATATTATTTGAAATTAAGCGCTGAGTTCGCAGACACGGGAGGCCCTTTTGCTGGGCGCCGGGCCCTAAACCCTAAACCCTAAACCCTAAACCCCAAACCCTAAACCCTAAACCCTAAACCCTAGATGTCTGAAAGTATTTCGATTTTATCAACTCAAAGAGCCGCAAACTGCGGCCCTAAGCGGCGTTTAGGCAGCTCGGCGGTTTCCAGCGCGCGCGTGCCGACGAGGGTTTAGGGTTTAGGGTTTAGGGTTTAGGGTTTAGGGTTTAGGGTTTAGGGTTTAGGGTTTAGGGTTTGGGGGTTTAGGGTTTAGGGTTTAGGGTTTAGGGTTTAGGGTTTAGGGTTTAGGGTTTAGGGTTTAGGGTTTTATGCAGGGCGCGGGAAACACCCCCGCGTTGGTGAACAGTTTGTTGACTTCGCTGTGCAACATTTCGCCCTTCCCCTTCATGGAGGCTAAACCCCCACACAGCAAACTCTCGCAGCTCTTTGGCTTCTCCGGGGGGCCCCACAACAGCTGGGATCCGATCCCAGCGGGGGGCCCCCAAAATGAGGGGTGAGGGGCCCCCGGGGGCCCCCCCGGGGGCCCCCCCGGGGGAGGCAGCTGGGGGGCCCCCCGGGGGGCCCCCCTGGAGACGCTGCCGCTTATTCAGGAGCTGCAGCAAATCGAGGAGAAGAGCAGCAACAGTTTGTGGCCCCCCCGGGGGAGGCAGCTGGGGGGCCCCCCGGGGGGCCCCCTGGAGACGCTGCCGCTTATTCAGGAGCTGCAGCAAATCGAGGAGAAGAGCAGCAACAGTTTGTGGCGGGTGTCTCTTGCTGCTTGCGATTTGGGGTTTGCTGCTGCTGCTGCTGCTGCTGCTGCTGCAGCAACGCCGGCAGCAGCAGCAGCAGCAGCAGCTGCTGCTGCTGCTGCTGCCGACTGCTCCGAAGAAGCCTTCGAGCCCTGGGCGCTCTCCAGCAGCTCCGAAGATGAGCTGTTTGGGTGCAGCAGCAGCAGCAGCAGCAGCAGCAGCAAACAGCAGCCGCAGCAGCCACAGCAGCAACAGCAGCCACAGCAGCAGCAAGCGCAGCAGCAGCAGCAGCAGCAGCAGCAGCAGCAGCAAACTGTGGAGCCGTCCCTGCATTGTCAGCCTCCGCGTCTTCAGAAGAGGAGGCGAAGAAAAGAAAAAAGAAAAAGAAATAAAAAAAGAAATTAAAAAAGAAATAAAAAAAGAAATAAAAAAAGAAATTAAAAAAGAAATTAAAAAAGAAATTAAAAATGAAATTAAAAATGAAATTAAAAATGAAAATGAAAACCAAAGACGCCAAGACCGACTCGCCGTCGAAATCAACGCCCACTTCCACCACCCGTAACGCAAACCCTAAACCCTAAACCCTAAACCCTAAACCCTAAACCCTAAACCCTAAACCCCAATTTGATTCCTGGTTAATTAGCTGCGGCCCGATTTATTTGTGGACCAGCTAGCCATTAATCCCCAACTAATTAATTAAACTCTCAATTAAAACTTTATTATTTATTTATTTATTTATTTATTTATTTATTTATTTATTTATTTATTGATTTATTGATTTATTTATTTATTTATTTATTTATTTATTTATTTATTTATTTATTTATTTATTGATTTATTGATTTATTGATTTATTGATTTATTGATTTATTGATTTATTGATTTATTGATTTATTGATTTATT